GGCGCGTTTTGCAAATTTCGTAATCCTTTTTTCGCATCCTGTGTTGTCAAATTTGCATTTTTCGATGAACGACTACTCACCAAAAAACGACTGGGCTTTATGCAAAACCTAAAATTATATATGCTGGGGGTTCGTGCGGCTTCATGATGCAACACTACCATCCCAGTCTAAATAATGTAACTGAGAAATAAGTTTATTTTTCGGCAGGGCCGGGGGGACTTGTTTAATTAAAACGACAGCTACATATTCGGAAGCAGCCATCGTTTTCCTTTACCAGTAGCTGTAAGTGGGTACCTTTCCGATATTTAGGAGATGATTGCTGAGGTTTTAGATTGCTCCAACTTTCGGAGGCCAGCTGAACTCGGCTTAACTTCTATGTTTTTAGTGCGCTGCTAACCGTTATATGAACAGCTCAGCTGACAGCCTTTCCCTGGTTACTGTGATCGCAGCTGCATTAACAGCTGATCAGTGTATTGTTAATCCTTGTGTTTATTTTCCATTTACTTTCTTTATTTCTCTGAAAAGAAATTGATAATGTGTCCCAACGCATTCGCCACTTGTGTTGCCCTTGAATTGCACTTTTTAAGCGTTTTTACTGTGCAGCACTATAGCGCTGCTACAGCCAGCAAAAACGCATATTATCGAGAGGCTGTCTGTATATGTGTGTTCAGAAAGCGAGTGTATTTTGCCACCCACTTTCATCTCGTCAGCCAGGAAAGCTGGGAGGCTTTAACTTTGGGTATATGTCCCTACCCCGTGTGTCATTCTCACGTTTTAATATCTTTCCGCATACGCGCCTAAGCCCCGCGCATGGGACCCCCAAAGAAATGTGTTGGCGGGAAACGATTTCGCGAATCCGACAAAGCAGAAAGTTAAAACTTTGCAGGGATATTTTCTTTCCACATGCGAGATAAAAATTTTAAACTCAGCTCTCTAGCCCCCGAAGCACAGCCTCAAACAGCTCCTCAATCCAAAAATCGTTAGCAACTCGGACCTGAACCGCAATCGTATATGCAAATGAACATGGATTTTTTGAACAACCGTTCGAGCAATACTTTCAATTTCTAATGAACTGAAAACTTGCATATTTTCAAAAAAATCGTTCGCAGCTCGGATCTTAACCGCAACCTTATATGTTAATGAGCGTGGATTTTTTGACAAGCGACTGTTCGAGCAATACTTCCACTTTTTAGTGAATTGGAAATTTGCATTTTTTCAAAAAATTTGCATTTGTCATTTTTTCACAAAGCAAGCATTAATCGAAATAATTGGCCAACGCACGGGCTGCCCGTGCGAAGATGCGTTTTTTGCATAGTTCCCCGCAGTTTTTGTCGCTATCGGCATCGGTTTTCTGGCAAATCCTTCTAGCTAAACAAATTAAGACTGGCCGCCAAAACTGGCAGGAAACACGCCCTTAAAATTTCAGCTCTCTAGCTTTATTGGCTCCTGAGTTAGCAATTTACTGGAAAAAATTTTTCACGAGGCCGCATTCGGGTACCAGGTATACCCGATGTCTAGGTTTGAGCTCGTTGAGACTTACTTGGACAGGGAACATTCTCCTAAAACTACAGTCTTTTAGCTTTACAGGTTCTCCAGTTGTGAGCTTACCCAAGAAGAGCTTTGGTGAACCCGTGCGCAGATACCATGCATAGCCGTAGGCTGGATTTGATCTCGTTGAGACTAATGTGGAGCAGAAACACCCTCTTAATGTTACAGTCTTCTAGCATCTCAGATCCCCGAGTTATGAATTTACGCGGGAAAATTTTGGCGAGCCCGTACGCGGGTGTCATGCTTACTTGGGAGTTGGGTTTGAGTTCATTAGTATATACTTGGACGGAGAACATTCCCTTAAAATTTCAGCTTTCTAGCTTTCCTGGTTCGCGAGTTATCAACTTACCCTAAAAAAATTTTGGCGGGCTCTTACGCGGGTGCCACGCGGGTAGGACCACCCGTTTTGGGGATGGGGGCCCGTACATGCATGTAGATTATGTCCCCAAAGTTTCAACCCCGTAGCTTTTGCCGGTTTCGAGATGAAAAATCGGTACAGACGAGCACGCAGACACACAGGCACACAGACACACAGACACACACACACACACACACACACACACACACGGACAACCTCTCGTCAATATGCGTTTTTCGCATTGC